CAGAACAAACACAGGACAAATGACAAACAGTGAACAGACACGGGACAAATGACAAACAGCAAGAAGACACTGGAGAAACAACAAACAGCAGAACAGACACAGGACAAGCAACCATCGCTGAGGTCACACAGGGAGACCTCTAATGGGGCAGAGATCACGTCTCGTCCTGCCCCCAGACAGTTGAGGCCTCCCAGGGAGACCTCCAGTGGGCCCCAGATACCGACAGATGAGGTCACACAGGGAGACCTCCAGGGAAACAGTGACAACGTCTCATCCTGTCCTGGGGAAGGTGTAAGCGACTGCGTCCAATCTGACCTTTTCCCCCACAGAAGAGTTGACTCACCAGAACTGACAGGCCAGCAGGAGGCTTTTCAGAGCGTCCTAGGATGGACTGGAGTTGTCCTTGGAATGAGGCTGAGGAACATCTCTCAGGAGCTCCCCTCTACTCTGGGGCCGAGGTCCAAAGGACCATAGTTGGAGGCAAATTTGGCATGAGGGAGGGAAGAAATGGATCCATGGCGAGCCCCCAGATGCTATAGTTAAATCTTCATCCTGGGATTTCATAAACTGACTTCCAGACCACTCACATATAATCGAATCAAGTCTTTATTGAAGCACACCATTGGTGGCTGACCAGAACATAAAGCTCTTCCCCTGATCATCCCAGAACAATTACAAGGCACTCCTTATAAGCCTGAAAACTGCAAAAGGGATGTTCAGGGGGTCTACCCAATGCAAGCAAGCCAGGGTACAGAAGCGGGACAGTGCAGTCAAGCGGAGGGAAGCCTAACCAAACACAGTTAGCCCAGTCACCCCAGTTACAGAAACAGAACCTTGTTACCCTAGTTACAGAAACAATGCCCCATTAGGTAGTTTTGTGTTCTTAAAGGTTTCTATAGCAAAAGGAAAAGAAAATTTTGCCCCAGTCATGACTCTTCTACTTGGCATTGATGTTTTACAGGATGAAGTCATAAAACAAAATGGAGTCACATTTGCTCCTACTATCAAAATTTCTGCAAAACTTCCATGAATACCTCATTGTCCTAATAGTTCTACAATTTCAATTGGCACCTTTCCTAGATGGATAGATTGTGTGAATACCTTTCCAGTACAACATAAGGTGTTTAAAGATAGTGGGTATATTTTAGGCTGGTCTCCAAAAATTGATAAAAGACAATTACCAAAAAGTTCTGCTATGACACCTGCAGGATTTGTTACCAATATTTTGATCCATAGTAAAGGTGGTATTCAAAAAGATGTTTGGCACTTAATTGCTGCCTCAGAATTCTTACATTTTACAGACAAGCCTTTACCAAAATTTGTTGGCAAGAGCTGTAAGGAAGGATCTTGCTATGGCTTATGAGCCTGTGTCCAATCTCCTTACATTTTAATCATTGGAAATGTAAAAGTTAAATGGATAGATGACAGATATGATGTAACATGTAATAAATGTAACCTAACCAATTGTATCACTAGATATAATAGAGGAAAAGGAGTACTGTTACTTCATCAGCCCTATTTTGTTTTATTACCTGCTAATATTTTAGAGCCATGGTAAGCTGATGCTGGTTTTCAAGTCTTACAGCAAATCCATACCCAGCTAGTGAGACCTAGATGTGTCATTGGAATTATAATTGTGGGAGTTATGGCCTTGGTTTCTTTCATTGCATCCATAGTCACAGCTTCGATAACTTTATCTCAAAACATTCAACATGCAAAATTTCTTAATAATTTAGCCCAAAATACTTCCAAGGCTCTGCACAATCAAGTAAATATTGAGGAAAGGATTGAGACTAAGTTAAATGCCTTGGGCTGGAATTGTGGCTCAGTGGCAGAGCACTTGCCTTGTTAAGCATGAGGCACTGGGTTCGATCCTCAGCACCATATGAAAATAAATAAAATAAAGGTATTGTGTCCATCTACAACTAAAATAATATATAAAAAAAGTTAAATGCCTTAGAGGCAACTGTTATAAATATATGTAATGGTCTTTCGGCTTTAAAGTTTAAAGAAAGGCTTAAATGCCACGCAAGTTATAAATATGTGGTGTGTTACAGCTGCCAAGTACAATGCTTCTCTCTGGGATTGGAAGAAGGTTAAGAACCATTTGTTGGGTATTTGGCAAAATAATAATAATAGCTTGGATCTTTTGTAACTCCATCATCATATCCAAATATTCAAAATAATAGAGCTGATTTTGGGGATCCTTCTTTAGCTAATCAAATATTGAAGGAATTAAATGGATTTAACCCTGGAAACATTCTTAACACTTGGCCTGGTTCATTATTGGATTGTTCTCTTTGCTGTTAATTCTTTTTTGTGTTGTAATTATAGGATGGGGAGTCTTCAGAGCGAGAGCCTGCTTTTTAAAAGAAAAATGGGGGAATATGTGGGAAGCCATCTTCGCATGTGATTTGAGTTACCTCCCTGGCTTAGTGAGAGGCGCTTAGACACAGCTGTGTCAGAGCTTTCCCCACCCTTTTCCAGGTCCGAGGGCTTGTCTGTGCAGAGGCCTGTTTGGCCACTGCCCCAAAGACCAATCGTTGCCCCTGACCTTGGGATGCTGCCCCCTTAATTTTCATTGGATGGGATTTTCCCCAGAATTTTTTGTTCCCCAATAAAAGTCTACTACCTGGTGTGTTCTCTCTCGCTAGCCTTTTCAGCTAGCCTCTTTAGCTAGCCTCTTCAGTAAACCTCACTACAGCTACCACAATAAGTGGCTGGAGGCTGGAGCTAGGAGAAGCTGTCCTGGAGTTGGTTTTAAAGGTAAAAAAGACCAAAAAGACAATAAAGGATTAGATGGTAAGTGGTTATCAAATGAAACATTAGATTTGCACATGATTATTGCCCAAGTATTTAACTCATTAGCTAACTCATCAATTTGATTCATAGTATATGGACTAATAATTTTATTGGGAGAAATTCCAAACACTCCCTTTGCTGCTTTTTCTGCTCTAAACTTTCTTCCTCTGTCTGACTAGTTCGAGAGACCTTCTCTTTTACTTGAATCTTTTCTTTAGTCAGGGGCCACTTGTCAAAAGAAACGAACTTTATTTTTAGAACCACACACACCAAACAAAACAGCTCCTCAGGAAAAACCCTCAGAGCCCAACTGCCACCACCAGCTTCCCACAAGCCTCTCTCCCAACCACAGGCCTCTCCACCTCCCACCATCCTCCTGTTCTTGAGGCTGATTGGCTGGGTCGCGTGGGCGGAGCCAAAATAGTCCCCCAATGAGCAGCTCCGTGGTCTGAAAGGGCAGGGAAACAGCCCAATGAGCATCACCACAGAGGAACCAATCAGCTAGATGTTGCTGGGGCCACTGTGAGCCAATCATCAGCTGGCAGTCTGAAAGTTTGCTGGGGCCCCTTCGGCTGTCATGGCAAGTCTTGTCTCTTTAATTTAAAACTCCCTAGCGGTTTCTCACAATTCAAACCCGTGTGGGTCACAGGCTAGACTTCTCTAGGGTTGGAGAACCCTCTAACCTGGGTGGCGGGGGAAACCTGTACACCATCAAATCCAGAGAAGAGGGGACTCTCCCCTCCTGGGGGAAGAAACCTCTAACATGGTACAGAGGGAGCTCTGTACACCATTGCACCCAGGTTAGAGAGGACTCCCTAGCTAGGGTTGGAGGACCCTCTAACCTGGGTGGCTGGGAGAGCTCTGTGCACCATTGCACCCACCGTAGATGGGACTCCCCCATCCAGAGGGTAGTATCTTCTAACCTGGATGGTGAGGGGAGCTCTGTACACATTGGCACCCAGGGTAGGGGGACTCCCCACTCCAGAGTTGGAGAAGACTCTACCCTGGGTGGCAGGGAAAGCTCTGTATACCATCACACCTAAGGTATAGTGGACTCTCCTTCAAGGGTTGGAGAACCCTCTAACCTGGGTGGCAGGAGGAGATCTGTACACCATTGCCCCAGGGAAGAAGGGACTCCCCCATCCATGGTTAAAGAACCCTGTAACTTGGTGGTGGGGGGTGCTCTGTACACCATTGCACCCACGGTAGAGGTGACTCCCACTCCAGGGGGCAGAACATTCTAACCTGGTTGGCGGGGGGAATTCTGTACACCATCGCACCCAGGGTAGAGAAGACTCCCTCCTCCAGGGTTGAAGATCCCTCTAACCTGGGTGGCGGAGGGCAATCTGCACAACATCGCAACCAGAGTAGAAAGGACTCTCCCTCAGGGTTGGAGAACCCTCTTACCTGGGTGCTGGGGGAACTCTGTACACCATGGCACTCAGGGTAGAGGGGACTCTTCACTCCAGGGTTGGAGAACCCTCTAATCTGAAAGGCATGGGGAGCTCTGTACAACACGTACCCCAAGTAGAGGGTACTCCCCCATCCACTGGGAATAACCCTGTAACCTGGGGGGGCAGGGGAAGCTCTGTACACCACCACACCCAGGGAAGAGGGGACTCACCCCTCCAGGGGGGAGAAGCCTGTAAACTGGGGGGCGGGGAGAGATCTGTACACCATTGCACCCAGGTTAGACTGGACTCCACCCTCCAGTTGGGAGAATCCTCTAACTTGGGTGGTGGAGGGAGCTCTGTACACCATCCCACCCAGGGTAGAGGGGACTCCGTAACCAAGGGGGAGAACCCTGTAACCTGGGTGGTGGTGGGAGCCCTGTATACCATCACACCCAATTAGAGGGCACTCCCCCCTACAACTGGGAGAACCCTATAACCTGGGTGGCGGGGAGAGCTCTGTATCCCATCACACCCCAGGTAGAGGGGACTCCCTGCACCAGGAGGGAGAACCCTGAAACCTGGGTGGCAAGAGGAGCTCTGTATACCTATCACCCTGGGTAAAGGAGACTCCCCCCTCCAGGGGGGAGAACTGTGTAACCTGGGTGGTGAGGGGGGGAGAGTTCTATATGCCATCACACCCAGCTTAGAGAGCATTAACCCCTCCAGCTGGGAGAACCCTGAAACCTGGATGGCTGGGGAGCACCTGGGTAGAGGGGACTCCCCCCTTCAGGGAGGAGAACCCTGTAACTTGGGTGGCAGGGGAGCTCTGTACACCATGCACCCTGGGTAGAGAGGACTCTCCCCTCCGGGAAGAGAACCCTCTAACCTGGGTGGCAGGGAAAACTCTGTACACATCGCACCCAGGTTAGAGGGGGCTCCTCCCTCCAGGGATGGAGAACCCTCTAACCTGGGTGGCAGGGGGAGCTCTGTACACTGTAACACCCAGGGTAGAGGGGACTCCCCTCTCCAGGGTTGGAGAACCCTCTAAACTGGGTGGCGGGGGGAGCTCTGTACATCATGAACCCAGGGTAGAGGGGACTATGCCCTCCAGGGGGGAGAACCCTCTAATCTGGGGGTGGCAGAGCTCTGTACACCATCGCACCCAGGGATGAGTGGACACCCTCTCTAGGGTTGGAGAACCCTATTCCTGGTTGGCCAGTGGGGGATCTATACACCATAGCACCCACAGTAGAAGGGACTCTGCCCCCCAGAAGGTGAACCCTCTAATCTGGGTGGCGGGTTCAGTTCTGTACATCATCGCACCCAGGGTAAAGGGGACTCCCCCCTCTACAGTGCAAACCCCTCTAATCTGGGTGGCAGGGGAACTCTATATACCATCGCACCCAAGGTAGAAGGGAATCCCCTATCCGGGGGGAGGCCCCTCTAACTTGGGTGTCAGGGGGAGATTCCCCCACTGCACCCAGGGAGGAGAGGACTAACCTGGGTGTCTCGGGAAGCTGCCACCAAATCCAGAGTAGAATGGACTTCCCCCATTAGGGAGGAGACCCCT